TAAGGAGTGTCTGTTTAAAAACCAGTGATACTAGCCAGGTGTGGTTTAATTCCAGCATTCAGGAGGCAGAGACAGGTGGATCTCTGTGAGATCAAAGCCAGCCTGGTCTATATAGTGAGTTCTAGGCCAGCCAGGGCTACAGGGGGACCCTGTCTCCAAAAGACCACCACCACTGACAAAAAACAAAAATCCCCAAAACAGTGATACCTAACCTATTTCCATCCTCCTTCAAGTTCAAAAGCAGAGTCATTGTCTTATACCTGGAGTTACCCCCCAAAGGAGGACAATTAATTATCTATAATGATGAGGCTATACTCTGGAGCAGATATAATGATCCTTTAGGAAGGAGGTTGGTCCCTCCAGAGAAGACAGCAATAACTACTTCTTATCTGACCAAGACAATCTTGTGGGACTAGAGCTGAGACACTGCCCATCAGGGCCATACCTTGACCAGGACTGCTTAATTATGGATACTTCTTGTCCTTTGCCTCAATTCCTCCCTTATAAGTAAACCTAAAACTCCTAAAATTAGTACCTTGAGTTTATCTGCTCCTTTTGCCAATACATGAATTGATTAAATCTCCTCTCTACTTTTCACCATTACTTGTCTCTTCAGTTGGGAAATTGGGATAGCAGAGTTTGGTCTGTTAGGACTACCAGAGCCAGAGCTTTTGCCCTAAAACTCCAGTTTGCAGAAGCTTCCCAATACCAACCAATTCTCCACTTCTCCGAGTACAAATTGAGTAGTCCATGATTTAACTTAATTCTGCTACTATCTACCCAATGTTAGCATCAGATATGACAAGTTAAAGGGCTTTGTCCTATAAGACTGCCCCCACTTTAGCATGCCACTTACAAGTTCTGGGTGACCCATTCTTCTAATCAAGTGGTCACAGAACCAAAGTGGAGTTCTCACTAACCAACTCCTCATGTTCAAAATTTGCTTAGAATAGCTCACAAAACTCAGGAAAAAGCTTCACTTACATGTAACAGCTTACTATACTAAGAATACAACTCGGGAACAGACAAATGGAAGAGATGAATAAGGCAAGATTTGGTGGTGTGGGGGAAGATAGGACATCTGTTTTCTATCCACTTCCCCCCGCGCCCCACAGCACTTTGGATCTAGTGTTTCAAAAATTGTTACAGAGCCTAATTTCTCACACTTTGGCTTTCCTTTAACAGAGTCTGAGTCAGAAGTTGGTGAGAGGCTGAAAGGCCCACTTAATTATTCTGGTGACCAGCCTATTCTAAGACTATCCAGGGGCTCCACCTAAGCATAAACTCAGATATGATCAAAGAGGGTTAACAACAAAGGACACTTCAAATGCAGGAAATTCCAAAAGTTTTTGGAATGCTGTGCCAAAATCCTGGGACAAAAACAAATGCATTTCTTTAAAAAAATTTTTGTTAAAATTTTATGTGTATGAATGCATTGCCTGCATGTATGTAAGCACACAGGTGTCATTCCAAGAGGGCACTGGATCCCCTGGAACTGGGGTTAAAGATGGTTGTTAGCTGCCATGTGATTGCTGGGAACTGAACCTGGTTCCTCTCCAAGAGCAGCCAGTGCTCTTAACCCTTTTGCCAACTTCCAGCCCCCAAATGTATTTCTTATAATGTGATACCAGATCACTGTAAATCCAAAAACCAATGAAATATAAATTTGCATGTTTTTGTATAGACTTCAAGGAATAGAAAGAAAAGAAAAAAACAAAAACAAACAAACAAAAAACCAAACTTCCTGCCTCTGATAAGGAATGGCTATAATTAAGAAAAGAGCCAGGCATGGTAGCACCTTTAATCCCAACACTCAGGAGACAGAGGCTGGCAGATCTCTGTGAGACCAAGGCCAGCCTGGTCTACATAGTGAATTCCAGGCCAGCTGGGCTACAGGGAAACTCTGTCTCAAAAAACAAACAACAGCAGCAATAACAAAAAATAGTCCTTGTTAAGCTATTGTTGTAGTTAGCTCCAGCTGTCAGTTTGACACCCCTGGGAAGAGGGAACCTCAACTGAGGAATTTCCTACATCAGATTGGTCTGTGGGTATGTCTGTTGGACAACTTCATTGTTAATTGATGTGGGAAATCCCAGGCCACTGTGGGTGGTACCACCCCTTGACAGGTGGGCCTGGGCTATATGAGAATGGTAGCTGAGCAAGCCAGGGGAAGCAAGTCAGTGAGTAGCATTCCTCTGTAGTCTCTGCTTCAGGTCCTGACTCCAGGTACCTGCTTGAGCTCCTACTGTGGCTTCCCTCCACAAAGGACTATAAACTGTAAGATGAAATAAATCCTTTCCTACCTATGTTGGTTTTGGTCAGTGTTTTATCACAACAGCAGCAAAGCAAAATGGGACAGTTATAAGGAAAAAAAGTCAAAAATATATGACTTGGAAAAAATATTTTTAAGATGACATGGTTTGTCTCACACACATACACATACATCCAAAAATCTGACATTATCATTAGGCTTCTAGATATAAGATCAATGTATAAAAGCTAATCGCATTTCTATGTATGAGCAAAAAAGTAATTTTATTTTTTTAAATTTATTTTTATTTTATGTGTATGAGTGTTATGCCTGCATGTATGTAAGTGCATCTGTGCTTTGCAGTGCCAGCGGAGGACAGAGGAGGTATCAGATCCCCTGGAACCGGAGTTACAAACAGTTGTTAGCTGCCATGTGGATGCTGGGATTTGAACCTGGGTCCTCTGTAAGAACAGCCAGTGCTCTTAACCACTCAGCCATCTCTCCAGTCCTCGCCCCAAAAGTTTTTAATGGCATAAAAAAAAATCATGTACTATTAAATTAGCCTCCTGTAAAGCCAAGTAAACTCCAGTTGTACCTTATATTGCTCAGGCTGGTCTCAAACTCGCTACATAGTTTTGAAGATGACCTTGAACTCCTGATCCTGCCTCCATCTCCCAAGCACTGGGATTACAGGCATGCACCTCCATAAGGGCTCAGCCCTGGTTTTAAAAAACCTCAAGGATGCTCAGGTCTCCCACCCAGTCACCAGCATCTGAAGGAGGCTCCCAATCAGTCATGGAAGATTCAAATAAATTTCATTCCAGTTACAGGAACCATTGATGTTGTCATGGCAACACCAAAACTAAGGCTTTGCTTTGAGAGACTTCCTTTTGGCCATGATGACTTCAGATAAGCCTTAGGTGGTCCTGCCTAGAGCCACTCCAGATGACCTTACCCACAGAGGCCCTTCCTTCTCCCAGCTGTCCTTAATTTGGCCTGGAGGAGCACCTCCCAAGCACCCATGGCAGTTAGTACACATGTGTGAATGTCTGTATAAGCACAGCGCCACTTACTCTCTCCTGAGCAGTCCAAAATACCTCTCCTGCCCATGACCCAGGATGCTTCAGCACAAGCCCCAATAAAGCCACATATGATTAGTAGCAGTGCCTGCCTGTGGTCTTATCACAGGGAGAGAGACTGTATTGGTACACGAAAGAGCAGAGAACTTTTGTGCTCTCAGCCCCAGACAGACTCAACATCAACAGCTAGACGGTGCCTTAAGAGGTCCAAAAAGTGCTGAGAGCTGAGACTATCACTGCAGAAGTGCTGAGAAGGCACGACAAAGTGGAGTTGCAACTGCACAAAGCCTGTGTTCAAGGCTCAGTCTCCAGTCTGGCATTATTGGGAGGTTGTAGAAACCTTAACAGGTGGAGCACAGTAGGAGGGCTGGGTCACTATGTTCCCTTAAAGGGGATCATGGGTTCTAGCCCCCCTTTACTTTCTTTTGCTTGTTGGCCCTGAGGTAAGCAGTTTTGCTCCATTTGCTGCTTCATAAACTCAAAGCAGCAAGGCCAACCAACTGTAAATGAGAATCTCCAAAACCATAAGCCCAAATAAAAGTTCTCTTTATAAGATGAGCACCTAAGGTATTTTTTTATAGTGATATAGAGTTGACTAACACAAAGGCAATTCATGTCTTTAAAATTTTTTTCTACTTATATAAGTAACAAAATACTTCAGAGAATAATGACGGAAGAAAATTCTGTAGCAGCAACACAAACCACTTATATCAAAGAGACTTTTTTTTTTTTTTTTGGTCTTTTTGAGACAGGGTCTCCCTGTGGTCCCAGCTGACCTGCAACTCACTATGTAGACCAGGTTGGCCTGACTCACAGAGATCCACCTGCCTCTGCCTTCCAAGTGCTGGGACTAAAGGCATGCACCACCACACCTGGCCAAAGACTTTTCTAACAAAGTAAGCTCTTGTTAGTTGAAAACAAAAATGATTCTCTATCTGAAACAGTATTTTTCATTTACAATATTATAGCCTTTGTATACTTCGGGGGCATTAAATATGACCATTTTCACATTTTAACAGGGTATGGTAAGATGGCTAACTTTGTCAACTTCATGGGCACCATTCCATGGGCTGGGGAACCAAACTGAATAAAAAATTAAGCAGCAGGGGCTGGAGAGATGGCTCAGTGTCTAAGAGCACTGGGGTTTGATTCCCAGCACCCACGAGATGGCTAACAACTGTCTGTAACTTCAATTCCGAGGGAATCCAAAGCCCTCTTCTCACCTCTACAGGCATTGCACAACATGGGTACACTTAACACATGTGGACAATACGCTCAATACACATAAAGTAAAAATAATAAAATGTCTTTTTTAAATTTAATCACCAGCATTCATCTCTCTCTGCTTCCTGACTGCAGGCAACATGCCAGCCCTCTCATGTTCCTGTTGCCCTGCCTTCCCTGTCATGGTGGACTATACCCCAGACCATGAAATAAGCCCCCTCCTCTCTAAAAGTTGCTTTTGTTGTCCATTTTATCAAAACAATAGTCAGGAGTGGTGGTAACATGCCTTTAATCTCAGCACTCAGCGGGCAGAGGCAGGTGGATTTTTGTGAATTCCAGGCCAGTCAGGACTACATAGTAAGACTCAAAAAAAGTAACTAATACAAGTGCTCTGAAATTCAATTATTTAGTAGAAAAGGTCCTATATAGGACTGGTGACACTAACTCAGATGAGCATGAACACAGCCCCCCCCCACCATTATGCAATCAAGTTTCTCACATTTGGGGAAATCATAGGGATCCACATACCCAGAATGTAATAGATGAGCCTCACTCTGGGAAAACCACCTTCTTGACCATGGCAGCTCTCCTGCTAGCTAAGTCTCTTTCCGCCTCTTTTGCACCAGAATCAATCACTTCTCCATTAACTCCCAACACCAGAGGGCAGCAGCCTCACTACTAATTAGCAATAACAGAGAAAGCAATTGACTAATGAAAAAAAAAAAAAAACCTGAGTAAAATCGGCACTAAATTACTACTCAATCTTTCATTGTGGGGCAAGAGTCTAAAAAGCAGAACAAATGTATAAGTAGGTTAAAAAATAACGAAACAAGTAAATCATACTGACTCTCCAAAAGGATAGGTTAAAAAAAAAAAAAAAAAAAAAGATCATCGCCCAGGGAAGGGCCATGAAAATATGAGCATAACAGCAATATATATGTATTTAGTTAATTCAATGTATTTCAGAAGCATAGAAGAATAAAATGATGATAAAGTCCTTTAGATTCCCTGTATTATCTGGATTTTAGAATACGATACAAGGAAAATAATTCTAGATCAAAGACAGATCCAAAGAGGTTTTTTAAATGACCTTACAGAAAACTTGAAGAAATTAAATCTTTTCTGAAAGAAAAAAAAAAATAGAAAAGTTTGTCCCTAAATGACAAGAAGCAGTAGCACTCTACCTAGTTTGGAAAATGTCTGTGGAAAAGAAATATAAATCTTCTTTCTTTCAATTGCACATATATTTAAAATAATAGACTTTTAAGAATAGTTTTGTGTTTATAGAAAATTGAGCAGCTAGTAGAGATTCCTGTGTTATTATCATTTCATATTTGTGGTATATTTGTTACAAGTGATTCAACACAAATTCCTTAATATTAAAGTCTACAAATTATACTAGGCTTCATTCTCTGTGTAACAAAGTTATGTGGGTTTTGATGATTGTCTAAGCCTAAGTATCCACCATTACTGTATCACAGAGAATAGCTTTTGCTGTCTAAAAATCCCTTGGCTCCCCCTAGCCATCTTTCCGTTCTATCCTGCAACCTCCTGGTAAGTACTGATCTTATTAGCTCTATATAGTTTTTGCTTTTTCAGAGTGACATGCAGTTGGAATCATGTATGTAGCCTTCTCACATTACTCTCAGTAATGTGTTCTGCATTTAAGGTCTCTCTACATCTTTCCATGGCTTCACAGACCATTTCTTTTTATCACTGAACAACAGTCCACTGTACGTGTGTGTGTGTGTGTGTGTGTGTGTGTGTGTGTGTGTTTGTGTATATATATATATACACATATATATATGCACCAGTTTACCTAGTAAAGGGTATCTTGGTTGCCTCTGCTTTCAAGTACATCTTTTATTTTAAAAAAACTAAATGAGGAAGTCTTAGTTCAAAACAAAAGACTTAAAACACTTGCTTCCCCTCCCTCAGTTCAAGATCAAAGACAAATATTTGTCTCTTTTTCCTCCTGAGTACTTATGGATGAATGCCACAGTGCAAAAAAGAACTGGAAGAAGGTAAAGAACGGGTACCATTTCCACAAACATCATGAAGTCAGAAGTATCACGAAAACTCAAAATCAGTATAAAACCTTTACATTTTGTTGTGCCATAAAAAATGAAACTCTATCTACACCATGGATGAACAGTGAAGACATGATACTAACTGAAATAAGCCAGGCACAAAACCCAAATGATTTCACTTACATGTGGTACCTAGAGTGGTCAAATCTATAGAAACAGAAAGGAAAATTTCAGGGGTGGGGGAAGGAAGGAAGAACCTAGTTGTTCAGTGGAAATAGGTTTTCAGCTTAGCAAGATGAAAAGATTCTGGGTATATATTGTATAGCAATGTGAATATTTTAAAAACTATTAATAAACTATATACACTTAAAATGACCAGGATGGTAACTGTTATGCACTTTCCATCACAATTTAAAAATTAAATATTGTGTTTTATCTTTTGGTTGATCATCATAGGAGAAAATGATGCAATTACTAAGGTAGTCTAAATGTTGTTCACTTCAGACTCCAGCAGCGGGCTCATCTCAAGCTTAGCATACACCCGTGTCACCTGAAAAGTGGAGGTCAAACAGGTTTACTTTCTTATACTACATCAATTATTCAAAACCAGGCTGTGTTTTAATTTGCTTCTTTTTTGGTCAGTAATTTACTTAGGTCTTTTTCGTTTAGCCTCCTTCCTGCTAGGCAAGCACTACCACTGAGCTATATCCTCAGCCCTATTTCCTTCCTTCTTGCTTCTGTGGGCCCACCTACCCTGCCTCTTTCCCTTCCTTTCTTCACGGGTAACTGCTTAGTTGCTTTTCTTTTTCTTGTTGTTGTTAAAAGAAGTAACATGCCATATCACTAACATCTTCCAGTCTTAAAAAAAAAAAACCTACTTATGGTACAGACATTGTATTCTTTACCACGATATTATTATTGTTATTATTATTATTATTACTTTGAGACAAGGTCTCACTGTGTAGCTGTGTAGCCTTGGCTGGTCTGGAGCTTACTATGTAGACCAGGCTGGCCTCCAACTCATAGATATCTGCCTGCCTCTGCCAAGTGCTGGGAAAGACGTTATTTCTGATGCCCACTGGATCTGGTGCACAGGTTGTCAGCTAGGCGTTCTTCACAATGGACTCTTGAGGTGGTTATTCCAATGGCAAAGTTCTTTCATAGCACCCTCTTCTTTTGTTTTGTTTTCAACTTTAACATAGTTTTCACTGCATTTGGTCAGTGAATGATTTTCCCCCTTCATTTCCTAAAGCTCATTCCTGTTTCTTGTAGCTTTTCCACAGCATTTTTCCTTATTTGATGAAATAATTCTCTATTTTAATATATGGTTTCAGAGTTTTATGTTCCTTGACTAATCTCTCTCTATGCATATTTCTATTGCTTTATCTTCTTGTTCATACAGTCTGTTTTCTTCATATAGCTTGATTCTTAGTTACTAACAGCCACAGACTTTTTTTCTAGGAAGCCGGCATGCTTTTTCTCAGTCTTGTTTGTACAGTATGTTTTCTGTCAGCATCCTCTTAAATAGACTAGTCAGTTGGGCATTCTGTGTGTGAGAGCTACTGGAGTGGACTTTATATGCACAGGTGAAAGTTGCATTATTTAAAATTGCAATAGAATAACTAAAGGGCTAACAATGTAAGTGCCAAACTTTAGAAAGTGCTATAGTTTAAATGTGGTTTAGCTGCCAAGGCTTCCTGTGTGAAAGGCTTGGTCCTCAGTGTGAAGGTAGTGAGGAGGTAGAAACTTTAAGAGACGTGGCTTTGTGGGAGGTAACTGGGACACTGGAGGCACTTTCCTAGGAAGGGAATGGTGATTCTGTGGATGAATTCTAACAAGAGTGGGTTGTTATTCAGAGAGAAGAGGGGAGGGGAGGAGAGGGGAGTGGAGGGGAAGGGAGAAGGGAACAGGAGAGGACAGCAGAGGACAGGACAGCAGAGGACAGGACAGGACAGGACAGAGCAAAACAGGACAGGATAGGAGAGGATAGGAGAGGAGAGGACAGGACAGGACAGGACAGGAGAGGAAGGCTCAGTCCTCCCAGCTCTCTGGCTTCCTGTCTCACAGTGTAATCCCTCTCATATATGCTCCTGTCTTGCTGCCATTAGCCATGAGGCTCTAAATAGAGGCCAAACAAACGCGATACCTGATCTTACACAAATTGAGCTAATTAAAGCTCCTTCCTTTATATATTATCCAGTCTCAGGCACTTGCTACAGCAATGTGAGACAGACTAACAAAGGAGACCTAGAGGAGAGTGAGTCCCTATTTTTCATAGCACAGACATACATTTAACAGGCACTATCTAAAGTTTTAAAATAAAATTTGAAAAATAGTGGTACTAAGCATATTATTTCATCTGTTCATGGTAACTATAAAAATAATTAATAGTGATGGGCATGGTGGTGCACACCTTTAATCCCAGCAGAAGGTGGTGGCTGTGAGATTGAGGCCAGCCTGGTCTACATATTGAGTTCCAGGGCAACTGGGGCTACAGAGAGACCCTAAGGACAAATCAAGGAAGAAACGAGGCAGCTAAGAGCACTGCTTTCCATTCTAATCCCTTCTGTCCTGTCTCTTTAAAACACATGCATTTATTAAAACAAAATGATAGAAACTGAGGAAAAATATTTTAAAATTGGAAATTTAACTCTGAAAAGAAAAATATTCAGGCTCATTCATATGTACTAAATTTGTTTGGACAGAAAGGAGATTTGCCAAGGAGCAGCAAATTCAGCTCTTAAAAAAAAAAATCAAGGCTGGAGAGCTGGCTCAGTGGTTAAGAGCACTGGCTGCTCTTACAGAGGATCTGGGTTCGATCCCCAGCACCCACGTGGTGGCTAACAACCATCTGTAAATCCAGTTCCAGGGGATCTAACACCCTCTTCTGAACTCCGTGGCACATGGGTGGTGTACTTACACACATGCAGGCAATGCACTCATACATGTAAAATAAAATAAATATTTAAAAATATATAAAAAGATTTTAAAAACCCATGACAATTTATTCTGCAGGATATCATACCCTATCCCAGCTTTACAAAAGCCCAGACAATGGTTAATGAGGGACTTGAAACTTGATTTGTCTTTAACAATTACTAAATATTTTATTTAGAGAGTCTACTACAGTGAAAGAGACTAGAGTAAGAGGCATATGACCTATGTTCTAATCCCAAATTGTCTTCTGAGGTCCTATGTCCTTGAGTAAATCATGTTCTTTTTCCAAGCATAAGATGTTTTATTTGTAGAAATGGGGATGACTACTACCGCCTGCTGCACAAAGTAGCTGTGAATAGTAAATGAGACTTAGAGCATTGTACAAAGGTTAAAAAGTGCTGCAATAAATTCAAGGAATAAGCACTAATTCTTTCCAAAATTAATAAAGCTATGCTCTTCATTGACTATCAGACTAAATACCAGAAAAAATGTGAATAAAATTATTACATACACTAGTATTTTAAAGAAGGATTGAACTAGGTACAGATCCAAGGTCAAGTTCAGGATCTACAAATAGGTAACTTCCACAAGCACTTTGGATCACTATAACGAAATTGTCCACTTTGGTAGATGTGCTTCATGGCATATTTTCCATCACATAATAATTTAAAAGGCAATTCAATCACAGCCTTTTTGTTTTGGTCACATCCCAGGACTCGGGAGGCAGAGGCAGGTGGATCTCTGTGAGTTCAAGGCCAGCCTGGTCTACATAGTGAGTTCCAGGACAGCTGGGGCTATAAGCTGTCTCAAAAAGACCAAAAAAAAAAAAATCTGTAATAGTTTGCAGAGTATGGGTCCTTGGACAGGACTCCTATATTAAACCCCACCTACCCAGGGCTCAGAAGAGGGGGAGGAAAGATTGTAAGAGCCAGGGAAGGAGGTATATGACCATATGGAAATAGTCCTACAGGCTCCTGGGACATTGCTCATATGAACCTACAGCAATGGTGTCAGCATGCACAAGTCCCTTGCAAACTCAAGCAGACAAAAACTCAGCACAGAACTGTGAAAATGGGCAGCAGGCCCCAATCTTAGTTGAAGAATTATTGGCAGCTGATTACTGCTGAGTGAGGAAGAGCTGACCTTCCTAAAGGGAGGGTCTCTAGATAGGTTCACTAGATCCCAGTGAATGAACTTGCACTGAGGGACGTCTAGGAACACTAACTTGACAGGATAGGCCTTAACTTAAATAGATGACAGAATGTAAGAATTCCAGTGGGGGGGGCTATGGGAGGGTGCCAGTGGGGAAGGGAGTATAAAGATGATTAAGATGTTCTGTATGAAATACACAAAAATTTGGTAACAAATTTATAAAAAAATAAAATTTAATAAAAAAACATTCTATTGTTAAATATCTGAAAACAAGGGCTTAGATTGAAGCCTTTTATTTCCATTTCCAAGCTCTTTATAAGCCTACCCTATCTTCACTTTTATTTTCTAATCTTTCTTAATACAGACCTACAGTCTGAGACCAGATTGCTCTACTTACTATTTCTCAAACTGCCATGGCAAATGCCTGCCTCCATATTACTGTCAATGTATAGGAAGCCTAACACCTTTGCTGTTGCTGTGCCAGCCAGCTGGGCAGCTCTGCCCTGAGCCCAGTCTCTCCCCATCTACCTGCCTATGCTGCCACTGCTTAGATCTTAGATATAGCATTGCTTTCAAAGAGTTAAAATTCACTAAGGAACAGAATCAACAGAAAATTGTCATATTAAAAGAACCTGGCTTCTAGGCCAGGTCCACTGTCTACCACTCAGCAATGCATGAAAGCACTGAAGGAGGAAGGTATGAGCCATGGCCCTAGAGCAGAGGAGAGCCCACTGGGTTGTACATATGGGTCACAGCCTGGAGGGTGAACGCCTTGATCCACGGACTTACTGGGTTAAAGCGGTAGCACGGCCCCATACAAAGAAGTATGCATTTACTTGTTACAAGCTGATGTTAAATGTATTTGACTCCTTGTGATATGATTTTATGATCACCAAAAAAAAAATCTTCTAATTCTTTGACTTTAATAGATACTATGGTGTATCAAATGCCCTGATTAAAAATAAATCCATTTGGCATCTATAACATAAAAGTTAATAAAGTAGAATTCTTAGATCAGACATCAGTTTCTGTGACCTTGAGTATAATTTTGAGACAAGACTGGCTAACACAGTAGACAAAAGCCTGTATGAAAGGAGAAAGGAGGTCAGATCTAGGTCTGGCAAATTTACCAACATAAAAGCTACCAGTGGTGGCTACATGGAATATCCTTGCCCCAGTAAATCTTTTTTCCCCGCCACTCTGTCCAGGCTGGCAAGGAACTCACTATGTAGCTGAGGCTGGCCTCAAACTTTCACTGATCCTCCTGTACCGGCATCCCAAATACTGGGATTAAAGGTGTAGTTATCACACACAGCCCATCTTCTTGTACTACTTTCCTTTGAACACTTACAAACATTTTTACTTCGCCAAGGACACTAAAGACATACTAAAACTTTTTAATGATTTGGTTTTCACATACCTTTCCTAAGATTTCTATGTACCCTAAACTAGAGCAGAAAAAAAAATACGTTAACTATACACATTAAAGTTTCAATCTACTTCTCGGTCTTCCTTCTCTACCTTGGCCAATCTGAATTTTAATTAATTGTAAAAGCCTGACACAAATAACATCTTTTTTCATGAAGGTTTTCAGTGGACACCAAGCCACAAGGTTAAAATTAATATTTCTGGTGACAAATGGGAAATTACCCTGAAATCAATTTATAAACTTACTACATGCCTCATCAGAGTCATTAAGAATCGGTAGCCTTAGGTAGGTTCCTTAATTGGTATTCCTCAGGTTTTGAGCTCAGATTTACTACATTAAAAGACTACATGTGCTCTCAATGTGTAATGGAATAGTTATATCTTATTTCTCTAAATTTCAGTGCCCTAGGGCTTAGCCTAGTTTACTTAAGTATCAATGTATAATAGATAAACCTTTGTTTCCCAGATAAAAGTATTATCTCCCATTAAGAAAGAGATATAAAGTCTTTCAATTTATTCCTCTGTTAAGGGCACTTACTGTTTGCTTCCTGTATTCTATTTGAGAGCCTTTGTTTATCTGTCCTATATTCTTTGACCATCTAGCCACATCGATTTCATCTTTCAGTCTCCTGCAGGCTTTCAGGTAGTGCCATGTACATAAGAGCACTTTAAATATAAATCAAGACTTTCCTTTCAACGAAGGCATTCCCAGTTCTTTATGTGCATTCCATCTTCTCATAGTCTTTGACCATCCCATTCTACAGATTACTCTCACTTCTGAACTCCCAAAAGGTCTGACTGTAACTTCTTTCATTGCTACCATAGCTATTGTAGCATTATTTTTCTATACACATTTCACAGTTCTTAAATATTTCAGAGTATCTCAGCAGGATCTAAGCATAGCACAGACAATTTTAAACATTAATTCATTCAACCACCCTGGAAAAAAAATCGACCAGGACATTCATTAGTAAAAAATACAGTCAATTCAACACTGAAAAAGAAAAGCTTTACTACTTTAAGTGTGGTCCACAAAACAGCAGCAGTGGTATCACCTGGAAACTCACTCTGAGGCAGACTTTCCCACCCCAACCAGGTTCTGGTCAGAATCTGCCTTTTCAGATTTCCAATGATGTGTTAGCACTTTAAGGTTTGAGAATACTGATTCAGACACTACAAGAATAATTAGTATTCAAGATGTGTAACAGCAAATCCCTCATTGTAATTGCTTATTTCTTGGGCTTCCTTATCTGCTAACTGAAGGCTTGTTGAGGGCAGGTGCCCTTTCTATCTTTCTTACCACCAGTATTTCCTGGCCTTAAATAAGGCCTAGAATACTCAGTATTCGTTGTTTTGGTTTTCCTCTTGAATACACGAATGACTGTAAAAACCAAAAATGAAGTGTTTCAGAAAGCTAAGAACTTTTGTAAAACGTAATCTCACATACTGCCATAAAAACCCCTTAATTCAATATTATTAACTCAGTTTAAGATACTGCCTACTCTATTTTAACAGATGTATCTTATACACTTGACAAAGCAAACGCTAGGATTATCACCTTGACCTCTGACAGCCTCCAGGGGCCTCATTTACAAGCAAGCAAGCTGTATTTTAATTCTGGCTTTCACCCATCCATCCTATTTGCCTGCCCAAGGAGAAAGAAAGCCGAGGAGACAAGGCAACAGCAATTCTGTATCAGGAGTAATTCGAAGTATCATAGGAAACCTGGAAACCACGATTCTTTGAATAAAATACTTCCAGAAAAGAACTGCCAGCGAGAGTAGGAAATAAAGAGTTAAGAGAACCCTTATCTTTTTTTTTTCAAGAGCAAAAGGTGATACTAGAAAACACCCAGCGTGCTAAAGCCCAGTGACTACCTACCGACAAAAGGTGGAAACACAGCAGACCAACACCAAAGCGGATCCTGATTAGAACCGTCCAAGAAGTATACCAGAAAGCAAAGGAAGTCCAGGGAGAAAAGGGAAACAGCTAGGCGCAGTCAGCCCCGGGCAACTTACGGTGATGAGGATGGGGATGGGGATGATGATTAAGTGTTTTTGAGAATGAGATGGCTCGCACTGCAAGGGACGGGGGTGACAGTGGAGGAAGAGCGGTTGGAACAGTAGCGCAGGCAGAAGGAAGCGAAGCGACTGCAGATGTCCCCACCGTGCCGGGGCGGCGCAGGCAGAGGTGGGCGACAACGCCCGGCTCCGCTGGTCCCGTGGGGGCCGAGCCAGGTCCTCTGGAGCCCGCAGAGCCTTCCCCGCCCGTAACGGGCAGACTGTGTGAGGATGGGCAGCAGCTGGGCACCGATGCTGCGGGGACCAGTACCCACCTTGTCCCAGCGAAGCCACTGCTGGACGGCCGTGTCGAGCTGAGGGTCCCCGGTGAGGCAGGGGGCGTGGAGCAGGTTGGAGTTCAGGTCATCCTCCAGGTTCTCAGCCATGGCAGACACCCAGGGGTGCGGGCCTGAGGGGCGGGCGGGGACGCCGAGTCCCGGGCTCCGGGTGCACTCAGCAGGGTCCGGACGCCCCGTCCTCGCCGAAGGGCATTGGAGAACAACGCGCTAGCTCCGGCCGCCGCCTCAGCGAACCCGGAGAGAGGGCGGATGCAAGCGCACGCCTCCCAGAGGACCAGCTCCGGAGCTCCGGGCTAATCGACTGAGGCGGGAGTGAGACGAGAACAACAGTCCCAGATGTCTGGGTCCCCGCCGCCGCCCTCGCCACCTCAGGCCCCGCCCCCGCGTCGTAGGCCCCGCCCTTGCGCCGTAGGCCCCGCCCCCTCGGGTCGCTGCGGATCCAAGTCCGCCGGGCATGAGGCGCCAGTGTCTCTCCTCCGCAGCCGTGCGTTGACTCTCAGCCGAAGAAACGGCACACAGCTGTTTTTTTTTTCCAATTGTCGTTCTCCAGGTGTCTGTCTCTAGTTACCAGCCCCACATTCGCACTTCTCTCCTCCACCAGGTGTCCCAGTCACCACAGCCCGCCCGCCACAGCGGTCGTCTGGGTCCCGGGCGCGCGCGTAGGCCCCACCCACTTTGCCTCAGGGCTCGCGCCTCCCTGAAAGGCCGGAGCTACCCAAGTGAGGCATCCCGGGACTTGTAGTTTTTCTCTTTCCCCGAGTTCCGCAGACCCCCTTGCGGCCCCATTCCTCAAGGTTGGTCGCTTTGGATGAGACCTGTGCCTGTCAGGGCATTAAGGAATGGCTAGGGAACAACTCATATCCATTTAATGCTCGATAGTTTACGAGTTGCTTTCTGTTACCTCAGCCATCCTGTGAGGTAGGTGCACCATTCCCATTTTACACACACAGAAGGAACTGAGGTGAGCAGAATTTTCTAGGTGGTCGTGTTCCTGAGAGATGTCTTAGGATTCCAACCTGTCACAATCGCCTCAGTTGGCAGTTGTTTTTGTTCTGCCGAAACAGTGGAATAGGAGGTAGGGAGAGCAAAATGTCAGGAAAATAGATACGGATGCTGTCAAGAGGGAAGATGGATCAGCATTTAGCCCTATTATATGTATACACATCATAGGATGCATAGAATAATAGCAGTGAAAATACAGAATAAAAAAAAGAAATGGACTCACCAAAATGAAAATAATCAATTTCTTCTCTTTTCAGACCCTTTTCTACTATAAAGTATGCACCTTTCAGGTCATAAAACTTGAGGTCTGAGAAATGCTGAGATCTAACCTGTGGACCATCTAGCTGCCCTGATTTTCTTGGTGTGGCCTGCTTAGAATGTCTGATTTTGACCAAGTGTGTTACAACTCTCCTTCATAGCTGTTATTTCTTGTAAGGAGTGTATAATATTTATAGCACGACAGTACAGCAATTTAATAGATGCTTTTAGAGTGTTTTGAGGCTCCCAGGTAAAAGACACAATAAATTCAAAGTATTCTTTTTATTCCTTTAAACTGCCATTTGCTATAACAAAATCCAAACTACCAAAGTACAAAAGGATTATAGTACCAGTTTCTGAAAAATAATATGTCACAGTTGGGAGTTGCAGTTTTTGCTAAAAAAAAAAAAAATGAGCATTCCCTTTAAGGGATTAGCAGATTCTTTTAATACCACAAGGCCTGGGAAACAACTGTGTGTCCACGAAAGAAATTCATTTTCCACTATCATCAGGATTACTTTCCAGGACATATATTAAACATTTACTATGTGGCTAAGAGTTATACTAGGAGCTGAGACTACAGGAATGAAAATAATTGTTTATTTCAAGAGATAAAAATTTGTCTGGAGAGATAGGCTATGTGCACGTGTATATAGTCCATGAAAAGGAGCAAATGCTTACTGCAAACAGTGGCAATTAATTTAAGTCCGAGGTGGTCAATAAAACATCAGGCAAGAGAAATCTGCACTAGGATTTCAAGAACAGATAATAAACAAGATGAGAAAAAAATAAAAGATATTTCAGACCCATAGATCTGGTTCTCAAATCTCACTAGGAAATATTTTAAAATATACTTTATATTAGTGCAATATGATCCCCAGAGATTCTGAATTAGCACATTTGGATAAGGCCTAGGTAGCAGCAAATATATCTATTGATTGTAGCCTAGATGGCCATAATCAAAGTACATAGTAGGGCCAATGTGTTGGCATCCTCTGGGAGTTTATTAAGAAAAAATTCAGAACTCGGGGCTGGTGAGATGGTTCAGCAGTTAAGAGCACTGGCTGCTCTTCCTGAGGACCTGGGCTCAATTCCCGGTACCCACATGGCAACGAACAACTGTTTATAATTCCGGTTCCAGGGGAATCCGGCATCCTCTTGTGACCTCCATAGGCACTACATGACACAAGATTAAATTTTTTTTCTAGAACTCAAAAAAGTTTCACTAAACCAGGCTCTATGTTTTAACAAATTAATGAATGATTTATATTTAAATTTTCTAAGTAGTGGTTTTTGTGAGACATTTATTGTATTTGGAGCAATACTACCAAAACAACTTTCAAGAAATGGAATTATCTAGGGCATGTATTGAAGGAGGGGGAAATACAAGCTTTAATTGAATACCTTTGTCAACCAACCTTTACTTTTATCAGCAAGAACAAAACATATATTAACTGCTTACCAAAAATCTTGCCTAGCAGATTAGGTTTACAGTTTAAACTTTGGAAAGTAGCCAAGGAGAACCACAACTCACTAAATGTAAGAAAAATATCTAAGTGTATCCAGAAGGGGGAGTCAGGAAAAACTCAGAAACTTTAATTTCTGTTGGAATTTGCCCAAGGCATTCCCCCTTTTATTTGGTAAGTCTGTCAACCCTAACTTTGATTATAAAAGAAAGTTAGTTCTACGAATGGAAAAGCATTCTGAGAAATGCATTGTTAGACAGTGTATCATTGGGTGAACATGGCAGGGCAGTTACAGCATCACTGTGATAAAATCTAATGGGGGGACTGTTGTATGTGCAGTCCTCCTTTGACATAAATGTTATGTGGTACATAACTATATTATAATCAAAATACATGCTATATATTGCAACATGTAATTATGATCTAGTATCTTTTTAGTTTTCCAAGTCTGTGTCAAAATATCTGAAATAAATCAACAGGAAAAAAGGTTAATGTTGGCCTACAATTTTACAGGTTTCAGTCTATGGTCAGTTGGTTCAGTGGCTTTTGAGGATGTGAAAAAGGCAGTAGGTAAGCTGCTCACCTTATAGTGACCAGGAAATGAAAGTGAAACCAGTAAAGCCTGGGGTCTGAAGATTCCTTCAAGGGCAAGTCCTAGCGACCTAATTTCCTCCCTTCGAATAGACCCCATCTCCTAAAGGTTTTACCATCTACCAGTACATCACAGGCTCTGGGCTAGTCTTTGGGGAACATTAAAGAGATCTAGACTATAATATGTATTTATATATTAGCATATATTGCAAACTATATATTAGCATATACTACATAGCATATATATATGACATAATATTGTATATAAAACTTATCCTTAGGATCCAGGCATGGGTGTGCGTGCCGATAAGCCCAGCACTTGGGAGGTGGAGGCAGGAGGATCAGGAATTCATGGTAACCCTTGACTATATAGTGAGTTCGGTGTCAGCCTGGACTGCATGAGATCCTTTCTCTTTGGTGTTTTGCCTGCATGTATGTAAATGCACCTTTGTCATGCAATGTCCATGGAGGCCAGAAGAGGATGTCAGATCCCCTGGAACTGGAGTTATAAATGGATTTTAGCCATGGCATTTGGGTGCTGGGAACCAAACCCAGGTCCCCTACAAGAGCAGCCAGTGCCTAGCCATCTCTCCAGCCCCAGGTTTTTAGTTTTTATAACATCCAGCTTATTTCTGTTATATTTTGCTGTTTATAATTTAGTGTCTGCTGTATTTTCACTGTTTTCTTCTAAGACTTTAACACTTTTACCTGTTACATTTACATTCTTGCTCTATTTTAGTTCATTTTTATATTTGGATGAGAAATGAAGCTAACTTAATCTTTTGGTACAAAACGCTCCAGTTTTCCCAGCACCTTTTGTTGAAAAGATGATTCTTTCTCTATCAGATTCCTTTGACGCCCTATGGAAAATCAGTTAACCATAAACAGGTAAGTTTCTTTCTGGACTCTAAATTCTTTTCCATTGGTCTGTATGTTTAGGCTTGAGCTAGTAACACAGTGTCTAAATTACTGTTGCTTTGTAGTAAGTTCTAGAACCTGGAAGCATGCATGAGTACTCCTCTTTGGTCTTCTCTTTAAAGATTGTTTTAATAGCTCTGTATATAAATTTAAAGTCAGTTTGCCAATTTCTGCAAAGAAGTCCACTGGAAGTCTGATCAAATTGCATTCAATCCATAGGTTAAATTGGAGAGTGTTACCACCTTGATGCTGAGGGTTCTGGTCTATGAACATAGAATGTTTTTTTTTTTAATCATAAACCTTTAATGTCTTTGAACAATGTTTAGTGGTTTTCTGAATAGAAATTTTGTGCTTATTTTGTTAAGTGTATTACTAAACATTTTATTCTTTTTTGTAATTGTATATTCTTTTGTTAATTTTATTTTCACATGGTTCAAGTGAATAGACATAAAATTTATTTTATACATTGATCTTATATCTTGAAACCTTACAGAATGCATTTATTGATTCTAATTAAAAGTTTATATATTCAGATCATGCCACCTGTGAATAGGGGCAGTTTTACTTCTTCCTTTCCAGTCTGAGCGCCTCCACCTTCTTTTTCTTTCTTCATTGTCCTCATCAGAACCTCCAGCACAGTGTTGACTAGAAGTGGTAACAGCAGATCTTTTTATCCTCTTCCTTAGTGTGGAATGTACATAGTCTTCCACTTTAAATATAGTGTTTGCTAACTGTAGGTTTCTTATAGATGCCCTATATCACATTGGCAAAGTTCCCCTCTGGTCCTAGTTTATAAAGTTTTTTTTTTTGTTGTTGTTGTTGTTTTATCATGAATGAGTGCTGGAGTCTGTCAAATGCTTTTCTGTATCTATTGAGATACCAAGTGAGTGAGTTTGTTTGTTTATTTGAGACTGTGTAGCCCAGATTGGTCTGGGACTTGCTATGTAGACCAGGCTAGCCTTGAACTCATAAAGATCCTCCTATCTCTGCCTCCTGAGTGCTGGGATTAAAAGTGTGCCACCACACGTGACCTCCCTTTTTTTTTAATATTGAAAATTAAGTTTTAGAAGTTATACTTTCATTTCACTTGGTCATGGTATAATATTGTTTTCATATGTTCCTGAATTTAGTTTAATAGTTATTGTTGAAGATC